CTCTCGCTCTCGCTCTCGCTCTCTCTCTCTCTCTCTCTCTCTCTCTCTCTCTCTCTCTCTCTCTCTCTCTCTCTCTGTGTGTGTGTGTGTGTGTGTGTGTGTAGACAGGGATTCTCTGTGTAGTCCTGACTGTTCTGGAACTTGCTCTATAGACCAGGCTGGTCTTGAACTCATAGAGATCTGCCCATCTCTGCCTCCCAACTGCCAGGACTAAAGTCATTTGCCACCACTGCCCAGCTGTTACAGATTTTTTTTTACCACAATTTTTTTAAGTGAAGAGGAAATGATGCTGAATGGAAAGGATCAAGAATAACTTTTGAAATCCTTCTCTTCTGTATTATGCTGTTCTCTTCCCTTAGATAAGTAGAATTTTACATTGGGAGACTTTCAGGAAGAAGATAATTGATGTGGTTTGTTGCTTGGGGACTATATCTTCACTTGGTTTTGTTGTTGACTCAGGGGCTTTCACAGTCCAAACCATCCTTGAACTCCCAACCTAGTCAGGGATGACCTTGACCATCTATCTCCTTGACTGATGGGATTACAGGTGTGTGCCCTCTTGTCCAGTTTCAGGAGGTGATGAAGATTAAACTCAGTGCTTACTGTGTGCTGGACAATTACTCTCAGCTGAACAACATCCCCACTCTTCAAGTGGAACACTGGCTCTGGCATGTATTGAAGCCGATTTACAATGTAATGAAGTCTGTTTTCTATCCCTATGACTTGAAATACCAACTTATAAGAATGGATTTATTTTTCTACAGTTTCAAGAGATGGTTGGTCCTATGGCTTTGGGTCTGTAGAGAGGGAGAACATGGTAGTGAAAAGCATGTCAGCAAAGTAAAACTGGTCATATTGTGGCTACAGGCTACAAGCAAAGAGGGACAGAGGGGTCAAGACAAGGTCCCAACATCATGTTAAAGCACTTGCTCTTAATGTCCTTTCTTCTTCTTCTTCTCCTTCTCCTTCTCCTTCTCTTTCTCCTTCTTCTTCTTCTTTGGATTTTTGAGACAGGGTTTCTCTGTATGTCTCTGGCTGTCCTGGAACTCACTCTGTAGACCAGGCTGGCAGAAATCCACCTGCCTCTGCCTCCCAAGTGCTGGGATTAAAGGCGTGCACCACCACTGCCCGGTGTATGTACTAACTTCTACCAGGTCCTGCCTCATAAACACTATCACAGGCTGGGTACTAAGTCTTTGGCATATGGGTCCCTAGGGACATATAATTCAAACTATAACATGAAGTAAATCCTAGGTATTAATACAAGGATACTGAGCTCTACTTCTGATTTAGGCATTTAGTCTTGAGGCAGCCCCAAACTACTTTTATCTTCTATTAAAAACTGAATCTAGCACTTAAGCCCGGACTAAAGGCCTTTCAATGTAGCTCCTTTAGTTCTAATAATAAGGTAGTGTTGTATCCCATTCTACTTATCATAAAACTGAGGTGCAGAGAAGGAAATCTATTCAAGTACTAAGTGGTGGACTTAGAATTTTAAAGCAAGTGTTTTGTCACCACTCTCTCTCCTAATCAACATTCATTCACCTCTTTCTCTTTGAAATGCTAATGTCAGAAATTGGGATTTTAATGAGTGTGAAGTAGCGCTCAAAGATCAGATTGGATAGAAGCTATTCCTTGTGAACATAACTCTCAACTTTAGCAGCGTCACTGAGCCCTGGGAGGTTAACGTTGAAACCAGAGTACAGAATTCCTAAGATTAAGGTCAAATTTTTGAACCTAAGAAATTTCCCTCCAATTCTGAAGTAGTCTCTTAAGTAGCGAATCTGCTGCCTATCCTACGAGTCTTGCAATTAGCTGATTTGCAAAATAACCAAGCCAAGAGAAATTAAATCCATTACAGAAACACGTAGTCCACGCTGAACTTTATATAAATCAGGTTATTTGGTAGGGGGTGCAAAACATAACCCAAGCCGAATCTGCAGCTCTGGCGTGGAAGCCAGGGGGCGGGCAATCGGCAACCATTTTTGTTTTGCGGCCGTGCGTTCTCAGCGCATCTTGACTAACAGGACCCCATGGAGGAGGCGGGGCCTATTGGGGAGTGAGGCGGGGCTCCAAGACGTGATGATTCAAATGGACTAATGACTAGGGCGCATCTGCCAGAAGTCACCAATGAGCGTGCGTGCTTGGGCGGAGCGCACAAACCCTACGGGGTTTGGTTGCACCGCGGCTTTGGCGCATTTTCGGCTGGTTTGATTCATCCATTTTGAAGAGACGGGGGAGCGGGGGGCTCGTCAGATCCAGGGACCTGAAACAAGCAGCCGCGGACTCTGAGAAGTCAGCAGCTCGGGGCTCGGCAGCAGCGGCCTCATCGGCCGGAGCGGGGGGGTGGGGCGCCGAGTGCGCGGGGAGGGGGGTCCTGGTCCTCAGCTCCTCGACTTGGTCGCGCCTCGACAGCGAACATGTCTCGGCCTGTCAGGTCAGTGCGGAGTCTAAGGCCCGGGGCGGGCTGGACGGGCTGGGGTGAGTGGCGAAGAACCTGGGCAACGGGCCTGGAGTCGTGCTCTTGACTACCACGCGCGGCCTTCTCTCGGGGTCCGCGCGCGCCCTTGCGCGTGGGTGCTCGGTGGCGCGCAGGGTGACGGCGACGCGCACCGCCGCCTCCACCCCGCAGGGTCCAGGTCGGCTCCGCGGCCGCCCGGACCTCCGCCATGGCCCTGGCGTGGGCCTTGCGCTCACCAGGCACACCGTAGGCCGCAACCCTGGCCCCTGCTAGAGCCTGCGGCCGACCCGGAGACGAACACGCGGGGCCCGGTCCTCCCAAATTTTGCGGGCAGCTCAGCGTCTTGGCCAGCGAGTTGCCTGTGCCTCGCCGCCCGGCCCCGCCTCCATCCTCGGGGTCGAGGCAGGCCCCGCCTCCTAGCCCGGCCTGGGCGGGACCCACGCTTTCTTTTCCCTTTGGGGCAAAAGTGAGTTTTGACACCGAGCCCCGAAAAATAAGGGCCACAGCCTCTCCCCACTTGGGAGTTCTTAACCCCAAGTTTTCTCTTTCCACCGCTTATAAATAAATGCCCTTCCTCCAGGGACGTTCGCGTTAACCGCGCGACCCAAATCCCGTGTGGTTCTCGTTCCCCCTCACCCCACAGTCCACGTCTCTTGCTACTTCTGTAACCTTCTCTTTTCCCGTGTGAGGTTAATCGTAAATGGACTACGATCCGCTAGCGATCAGACTTCTATTCACATGGCTTCAAGAAGTTTTCTGTTTCCTCTCACTCGGTGGGCTCCCCTTTAATGTCCTCCAGAGCTGTTGTATGGAATGTGGAGGGTGTGGTTTAGTCCAATCTATTGAGGCCTGAGAGAGAAGACAGAGACCGAGACCAGAGTCAATATGTTACTTGTACAGGAGCTTTTACCTAGCCCCATTGCCATTGGTTCTTAAGTGTTTTTACAGTTATACATTCTTCTTCATTTCAAGTTTTGGTAGAGAGTATCCTAATACCAAGGAGAGGTTTAGATCTGGCAACGGTTCTGTGCCCCACTATGTCTCCTTGACAAGATAATCTCCTATTGGTGGTAGTTTGGGACTGCATACTCCTCCCACTCGTGAGGTGGAACTGCGGAGGATGAGTTACCTACCAGCTTGCTTTTTCCATTCTATTTCAACCCGCACCTCCAAATTACCATGTCTTCTGTGAAAGCTTTGCTGATGTTTGGGAAGTAGTATGACAGTTCCAGGTTATATAGTGAGTACTTTGGGGACATAAAACTAACCAAACTGTACCACCAACTCCAAATACTTTACTCAGGATTAGGAAACAGACACTATTAAGATTTTCGTTGGGTTTGGAAGAGATTTTTAGCAAATTTGTCAGAATTTGTATCTGCAGCTCAATTATTTTAGGCCTTAGATTCAAGTTAATTGCATAACATAGTCCAGGGGTTAGGAAAAAAGTGAGGTAAACTCTTGGGGGCGGGAGTGGGGTGCGGTGGGGCTGGCAGCTTAACTGAGACCTCGATAAAAGTGAGGTCTCTTGTATAATACATTAGTTGGAACTAGAACCTAGGTTTTATTTTTTTTCTTTGCTAAAAAGATTTTTTTAATTTGGGGGGAGGGTGTCACACTATATAGCTGAGGCTATCGTGGAACTTTGTAGACCAGGCTGATTTGAAACACAGATCAGCCTGCCTCTGCCTTACAAAAAGATGAGACACTACTACTCCCAGCCTATTTAACTTGTAACCACACTGTCCTACTGGGTGGCTATTGATAGTTAAATTAAGTAAGGATTACTGGAATGAAAACTTGTCTTTCCCTTTCACACTGTACTTGCAGATAGGGTGTGGGCCTGCACTGTGCTTTTAATGCTAAACAACTCCTGCTAGCTTGGGAGCACCTCAAAAATGCTCCCTTATTCCACAAAACAATAGTATTGTCTTCTAAAGGGATTTTTTGTTTTGGGGGTTGGGGCAGGGTTTCTCTGTAAGAGCCTGGGCTGTCTGGAGCACCCTCTGTAGATGAGGCTGGCATCAAACAGATCTGCCTGCCTCTGCTTCCCAAGTGCTGGAATTAAAGGCACCTGGCCTAAAAGGATATTTTGGGGTTTTTTGTTCTCAAAGGGATTTAAAAAATTAGGTGGCAAAATTTATGGTAGTAGACATCTATCCAAGTGGCCTACAGAACCTAGAGTTTATAGTTAACAGAGTCCTGCTCATTTTTCCACCTCCACAGTGACCACTTCATTTTTGCTTGATGAATAATAGTATGTCGCCAGTGTTGATTAAAGCACATAGCGTATGTCACCTTTTAAAAAGCTTCAGAGGGTTTTTGTGACTCTCAAGCCTTGAAAAGAAGGAAAGTTGTTGCTCATAAAAGATGAGAACTGGGCAGCAATGTGACACCCTTAATCCCAGGACCTGAGGCAGAAGCAGGTGGCTGAGTTCTTGGCTAAACAGGGCTATACATCGACATCCTGCCTTACTTAAAAAGGAAGAAAAGATGCAAAGATTCAGAGTAACCCAGGTTTCTTGATCCAGGTAGTAAGTACACTTTCTCCTCAGTGGGAAGCCATTCAGATCAGCACCGAGACCTCTTTGTAACTTATTTATTGTCTTTGTTTACTTTTTAAAACTTTTTTTTTTTTAATGGAATTACATTTACTTTCCTGTATGTATGTGGGTATGCACTGCCACCTGTCTGGTCAAGGTCAGAGTACAACTTGTGAAAGTCACCTCTGTTCTTGTTGGTCCTGGAGATTGACTGTAACCTTGGCACAAGTGCCTTTCGCCTCTGAGCTGTCTCACTGGACTTTTCCTCTGAGATGTGTGTGTATATAAATACATGTGTAAAGAGGCCAAAAGAAGATATCTCATGTCCTCTTATCAGTCTTTGACGTGGGACATGCCCTGGGACACTTAATTTATTATGTGAGTGTTGGCATCCAAACTTCTTGACTTTATGAGGCATGGCACTCTATGAGTGTATTGTTTGTTTTCTGGGTTTTTTTTTCCCTTTTTTAAGAATTTATTTTGTGCATATGAGTACACTGTAGCTATCTTCAGATACACCAGTAGAGGGCATCAGATCCCATTACAGATGGTTATGAGCCACCTTGTGATTGCTGGGAAATGAACTCAGGACCTCTGGAAGAGCAGTCAGTGTGCTCTTAACTGCTGAGCCAGCTCTTCAGCCCTATTTGCTTGTTTCTTTTGAGCTGGGGTCTTATACAACTTCAAACCAGTCTTACTTAGACTTGCTGTGTAGTTTTAAGAAGTCCCTAGTTCACTGGGCAGTGGTGTTGAATGCCTTTAATCCCAGTACTCTGGAAGCAGAGGTAGGTAAATCTCTGTAGGTCTACACAGAGAAACCCTGTCTCACAAAATAAAACAAACAAACAAACAAACAAAATCCTTGGCTTAGTGGGAAATTTGAAAATTGGAGATACTTTAGAATTTAAACAAATACAAGAACATGCTTAGATTTAGTACCCCATTGTGTATCTAGAGATGAGCCTGTTTTCTTGTATCTTTTTCTTACTTACTTCCAGATGTACATGTGCCTATGAGCAAGTATAGCTTTAAAAGAAATTCCTACGTGTAGACTTTAATTCTTAAAACATCAGGGGTATTTTATAAATCTAGATGTGATAGTGTATCTTAACATTCTAGCACTTAGGAGACTGAGGCAGAAATAATGGAAAATACAAGGCCTACCTAGCCAAAAAAAAGCCAAAAATAGGGAAACGTTTTACAGAAATCATAAATTTACAAAGACTGAATAAGGGGTAGATGTTGCTTTATAAAAGCATTAATTGCCGGGCAGTGGTGGCACACGCCTTTAATCCCAGCACTTGGGAGGCAGAGACAGGCGGATTTCTGAGTTCGAGGCCAGCCTGGTCTACAGAGTGAGTTCCAGGACAGCCAGGGCTACACAGAGAAACCCTGTCTTGAAAAACCAAAAAAAAATAAAAAATAAAAAAAAATAAAAGCATTAATTATTAAACTTCTCCTCCAGAGATTGGTTGGCTTGGTGAGCCAGTTGCAACTGTTAGGATTAAAGGCAGGCAGCAATCCCAGCACTTGGGAGGCAGAGGCAGGCGGATTTGTGAGTTCGAGGCCAGCCTGGTCTACAGAGTGAGTTCCAGGACAGCCAGGGCTACACAGAGAAACCCTGTCTCGGAAAACAAAGCAAAACACAACAAAACAACAACAACAACAAAAAAGGCAGGCAGCACCATGCCTTCCTGACCTATACATTTTTATTTTTTGAGGTGGGGGTTTCTCTGTAACTTTGGCTGTCCTGGAACTCACTTAGTAGCTCTGGCTGATGTTAAAGTAACAAAGATCTACCTGCCTCTGCCTTCCAAGTGCTGAGATTAGAGGCATGCACCACCCCTCCTGGCTTTGTACATTTTTTTTAAAGATTTATTTTATGTATGTAAGTACACGGTTGCTCTCTTCAGACACACTAGAAGAGGGTGTCAGATCCAATTACAGATGGTTATGAGCCACCATGTGGTTGCTGGGAACTGAACTCAAGACCTCTAGAAGAACAGTAGGTGTTTTTAAATGGTAAGCCATCTCTCCAGTCCATGAGACAAATTTTTTTAGATGTAAATTATAAGACATCTATACTGTCAGGTTTTCTGCTGCCGAGTTATATATACCTTTGCACCCAAATGTGTGCTCTTAAAATGTTGATTTTACTGTTTGTGACAGGATCATGTAAAGCCAGCTGATTTATAACTTAATGTGTAGTCAAGGGTTGCCTTGGGTTTCTGATTCTTCTACTTTCTCCTGGGATTACAAACCCCTGATGCCAGGCCTAATTTGTATATACTGTTGAGGTTTTAATCCAAGCTTTGTGCATGATAGGCAAGCCCTGATTTTACTTTGAAATAGCTAATTAATTTTATGCATTAAAAGTTCACTAATTTAAATAAATTCTTTGCCCTTTTTTGGTGTTTTAGATGAGACAGACGT